AGCTGAGGGAGCAGAAACCTATGGCGGTTCGCATTTAGTCCGCTCTATTTTGTGGAGCGATCAATTCTCTAACTTCTCGCTCGGATTGAAATAGCTCATGAACCTCTAGATTAACGATCACACAAAGTTATAACATTTTTTTTCTGTAGTCGCTAAACTTAAATATGGAGGAGTAGGCCAATTGATGGTATGGCGACGACTGGATTAACCCTTCGACTGCGGAAGGGATAAACGCCTTCCTGGTGGTGAGTTGGGTCACTGATGGGGCCGAGATGCATGCATTCCCGCCTACCCAAAACGGGTAGGGGCAAGTTCCCCCTTCACCACTTGACTCGTGGGGCTCGGTCAGTGCAGTCATTGGTCCCCCCCCCTGTAGGTGGTCCAGTGCCGATCTTCCGGATTCTGACCGAGTGGAAGCTATCAGTTGCAGATTTATTCTGAGCCCAAGGTATGTCCTTTCTCTGTTATTTGTGTCATATCCATGACCTAATTTATATTCCATTTGAATGTTTTATACATAAAATAAATCTTAATAAGTTAATTTTATATAAATATATATATATATATATATATATATATATATATATATATATATATATATATATGTATTTCTTAATTTGGCTTTGAGTGAATGCTAATTTTGGTACACGGGAATCTCTCTCTACTAAACAAATATATATATATATATATATATATATATATATATATGTAATGAAATTAAAATATAAATTAATAAATGTAAAAATATCCTGAATTAAAATGATGCTTTAGTTGTTTTATCTTTATTTTATTTATTGTACATAGAGTGTGAATGTGATCTGTGAACACTATTATAAATGTCCTTGAGACAGATTGCAATATTTTTCAATAAATAGCATTAATAAAAAAAAAAAATGTTGTTTTACCATTTTTCCATACACCTGAAAACAATATATATATATATATATATAATATAAAAGTGTTTGAAGCCCATAATAAATGTAAGTGCAATAATGAAATTTATAACTGTCCTATTTTCAATTTGAAACTTTTTAGTTAGAAAAAGTTTGTAAATAAAAAAATATATATAATTCGAATTCCACGGTCTCACAGTGGGCCCACTGAGAACTCGAGACATCGACTAAATAATTTTTTTTTTCAATCGAACTAATAAAAAAAAAAAACCAGTGAAAAATGCATACTATGCCAACTGAAAATATCCTCGGAAACTCTCCGAAAAAACCTATCAATGAAACAGTGTATCTAGCTTCTGAGAAAAAAAATTATAATAGTTTAGACAGATTCCAATAGATGTCGCGAGTTTTTCATTGTCCCACTGTTTGTCGGTGTCGTTTATTTAGAAATAATATAATTTCATTTTCATGATCTCTTACACTTTTGTGATCATTTTCAGTTATTTTGCTTTTCAGAATCGAGCAAATACGGAAGAAAGCGAAGTGTAATTTTGCATTGATATGCATAAAAACGTTAAAATGCATTTTTGAAAGGTAAGTTCTTGTAGGGTAGTTTTGAGCCAGAATGCTAACAGACCATTTTCCGAAACTTGGATGTTTTGAGGCAGGAGGCCTCAAAACATATATTTTCATTGAAAAATCTAATTCGAAACGATCACAATACTTTTCCTTATTATATATTTTATAAACAGGCAAGTGAAAGTAAAATTTACAACAGTAAAGAAGAAAGAAAGCTTGCATTACAAATTTGAATTGCCTTTTTAAATACCAACCTCAAGAGATGAGTTTCATAATATCAAGTTCTTATTAAGAGGCCAGTAGAGTTCACAGGCTGGTTATGAACCCATCCACTTCCGATTCTTCTCGTAAACCACTAACAAACTTTTAATATAATGAATCAGAACTGCTCCATTTGTTATTTTAAATTTCATGTTGGTATCTAATAAATACATGGATTTTTCAATTGTAAACTTCTTCTATTAGTAGATAGGCAGGACCTGACCGTATTTACAACATGTGCAAATTTAAGATAAATTTTGAACCTCATTAACAGATATCAAGCTTTATGCGCCCTCCAGACCAAATACCAATAGATCTGCTACTAGATCACTACGATGGCGATTGCTGTACCTCAAGTCTATGCTACAATAGCGATTGGCACAGGCCCCTCCGCCCAAAAAATTGGTAAAGTATAACCATGTCTAATGAAGAAAATATTAAAAAAAATATCTCTATAAATATTGTTATTGTTTGTGTGGTTACATTTAAAAGGACTACAAGAATCACTTAAACACCATTTGGTGTAGGAAGTTAGGTTTCTTTCTTTTTCTTTTAAAGTAATTATTTTTATACACATAAAAAAAAAGGCTGAAGCCCCCCAAATTTGAACCCTGGCTCCTGTAGTGCCGATTGGTAATTAATACCAAGGCAGGGTCATTGTTTGAAGACAGGTCTCCTCATCAGTTTTCTTTGTGATATAAGTTGAAATTTCGATTCATTCATCATTCAATCGATTCTAGTATGCTATTTCTTAGTTTAAAACTGCAGAATTTATTTTGTGTTTTTATAATTATATAAAAACCTATTGACCCCAAAAACCTTGGTGTAATGTATTCTGCCAGAATCTCTAATGTTGTTTATCATTAAATAAATAATTGATCGAATAGAAAAAAAAAATCGACAAAAGGCTAAATTTACTGACAATTAAACCTATCGGCAAAGATCCACCATCAGAACTGAAACAGAAGTTCAGATAAATGTTGATAATTTTTCTTAGTGCCCGTTACCGGTACATTTACCTTGAGCGTAGGATGTTGCCTTGGCAGCCAAACAGCTATTTTAGCATAACTCTTATCAGTTTCTTACCTGAGCTTAGTGTTGCCCGACCGAGATGAGTCTTGGTCTTGCAAACTCAATCCTGGTCTTGGTCTTGCGCAAGACTCTCGTACAGTCTTGCAGTTACCTATCAGCTTATTACTACAGAGATATTACTGTAATTTTTTAGATAGGAGAAACCTAACTAAGTCTGAATGAAAAATTAGAGGAGTTAAATGCAAAAGTATATTGGTTATACTAATTCTTTACATATAGTAACTAAAATTGCCTTAACTTGTGCAAACTATTTTGCCTCAATTTTTATTTAAAAAATCGATTTTTTTTTACCAGCCTTGATATTGGTCTTGCAACAGAGAGGCAGTGTTTTGGGCAACACTACCTGCGCTATCCTTACTGTATCTGTAATATGACATTAATTAACCAGTCCCGATTTGGCTGACACTGCTCTATAAATATGATCCCTAAACAGAAGAACTACGCTTCATCTACCTAATTACATAATGTAAGGCGGAAACATGAATAAAGAAGATTGAATTAAATGAAACATCTATCGATTGTGAGGGATGTCAGACCGGGGACTCCGACCTCCATAAAATATTAATAACAAGAGGTAGAACTCTTCCACGAACTGATATTTTCTCTTTCGACCTCTTTGGACATTCGACATCTCATAATCTTCATTTTATATGTTCCTGTCCCTAAACTCAGAAATTAGAGTTTAGAAAACCATTATCTTACCTAAGGTTCATTATGGATGCGAAACGTGGACGCTTACATTAAGGGATGAGCAACAACTTAAGATTTTTGAAAATAAAGTATTGCGCAGAATATTCAGACCGAAAAAGCACGGGTCAACCGGAAAATTTAGGTTGAATTGCGTGAACTGTATTCGGTTAATATAATTGAACTGAGTTAAAATATAATATAAGTTGAGGCGAATAAAATGGGTATGTAAACTCGCTGGGCTTCGGAACGAAAGAATTCCTAAAAAGTTAACATGAGCTGTACCGACTGACAAGCGCCCGAAGAGTAGACCAAAGCGAAGGTGGAGAGATTGCGTTAAGGCTGATTTAATTTAGACAGAGCCGGTGGATGGAAGAATGTGGACATCGATTGGTGGCATCGAACCTTCGGGTTCGCTAAGCATTATTATTATTATATCATTTATCAAGATTTTCGTGATACAGGAGGCAGCGAACTTACAACTCACATTTAATTAATTCGGAGTGTTAACTCGAAAATTTCATTGTTTTCGTTGTAATTATCAAGAATCTTACTTCATTTTCTTAGAACATTTAGTCTCTAAATTAACACATTCTTTTCCTATCCCCACATCTATGTCCTTTTTTTTTACTTATTTTTATGTCAATCTTATTTAAGCTGTCTGATTCTTCTCATATAGCACTTTTATATATATATATATATATATATATATATATATATATATATATATATATATATATATATATACATATATAGTACTTTTTTAAAATTTTATTCTTTTTGTAGCATAAGTATCTAGTTTTAATTTTAATTTGAAATATCTATTTAACTCTTGTAGAGGTTACGAACCCTCTCTCTTCCCCGTCATTTATTTTATTAATTCTAAAGCATTTGGACAAAGATTCGACAGAGGTTATCACACGCAATATTATCATCATATTAAATTATCATCAGACTAAGCGGTCTATAAACACATATAAATTAATAATGAGGATGAAACAAAATTTTCAGGAATTTCACTCAAGATATGAGTTCTTGCCTTGACTGAGGATGTCGTCGATAGTGTTGCCCAAATGCGACACCGAGACGAGTCTTGGTCTTGCAAACTCAGTCTTGGTCATGGTCTTGGTCTTGCGCAAGACTCTTGCAACAGTCTTGCAGTTACTTATGAGCTCATTACTATAGAGATATTACTGTAGTTTTTTAGATAGGAGAAACCTGACTAAGCCCGAATGAAAAATTAGAGGAGTTGAATGCAAAAGTTAAACGGTCTTGGTCTTGGTCTCGCAAAGTGCAAGACCAAGACCGATTTTGGGCAACACTAGTCATCGAGGACACGTTTGGGTCGAAACGTCGGCTAACCCAATAAACATATCTTGATTGAAATACCTGACAATGTTGTTTCCTCCTTATAATTGATGAGTGACCTACTTACAGAGCTATAAATTAATTATATATATATATTTATTTATTATATAAAGTACTCACTGAGCGCGGCGTTGGTTGCCTTGCCGTGGTCGACCTGCCCCCGCAAAGCCCTCAGCCTGCTCAGCTTCAACTCCTGGGCCTCCACCCGCTCCCGCAGCCGCCGCAGCCGGTCCTGCTCCGCGGCGACCTGCCCCGCGCGGCACTGGCTCTCCTTCAGGTACCTGAGGCATCATCATCATCATCAACTATATGTATCCAACGTCATCATCATCAACTATATATATCCAACATCAACATCATCAACTATATATATCCAACATCATCATCAACTATATATATCCAACATCATCATCAACAACTATATGTATCCAACATCATCATCATCAACTATATGTATCCAACGTCATCATCAACTATATATATATCCAACATCATCATCAACTATATATATATATATATATCCAACATCATCATCAACTATATATATCCAACATCATCATCATCAACTATATGTATCCAACATCATCATCAACTATATGTATCCAACATCATCATCATCAACTATATACATCCAACATCATCATCATCAACTATATACATCCAACATCATCATCAACTATATGTATCCAACATCAGTCATCAACTATATATATCCAATATCAGTCGTCATACCACTGAGGGAGGGGGTATCTACAGTGTGAGATTGCAAGGTGATCCTAAAGGTGCGTTTAGACACTTCACAAACTATAAAACTAACCAATATATAAATGGTTATTTCACTATGATAGTACTTTTTTTTCTTGTTTATGATATTGTCCATCTGCTGAGGGTATCAAGAAAAACAAAATAAATAATTAATAATAACTAAGTCGCTATCAGTTAAGTGAGATAGTTCTGTTTCCCTCAGTTTGTGGAATGCCTAAACGCACCTTTAGAATACGGAAACGGATTGTAAAGTAAGGTTTGCAAAGCTTGCTTCACGGATTGGTGGCGGAGGACGTATCTGATATATCCATAAGGAAAACTAGAAGCATGAAGAATGGCGATTACATGAAAAAAAAATAGAACGATTAAGTTTTCAAATAATGGTTGAAGAGAAGATTGGTTCGGGTGTTCGGTAAAAAAATTAAAAATAAATGAATTGTATTTTTATTTTGCCGACGTTTCGGCCCAAAATTCAGGCTTTCATCTGGGCTTAGAAACACAGATAAAAATGGGCATGAGAAACTATTAACATTATAAAGAAAATAATAATGTGTAGGTGAAAGATATAGTCTAAAAATTCAGGTAGAATAAACTTAGGTAGAAAGGAAATATAAAATAAAAAAGTTAGGGATAGAAAGTAGCGGGAGCAAAGTTACGGAATATGAATACAATAATAACAGTAAAAGAGAACTAGGAATGAAATAATAACAGCAACAAAGTAGAGACTAATGAAATAAGGTAACATAAGAAATGAAAAACGAAATAACAAGGAAATATATGAGGTTAAAAATGTGAGTGTAGACATAAAATAAATGGGATGACGTAGTTGCTAAAATATGATGTCTTAGTATGCTAAAAGGAAGTGAGATAATCATAGAACAAAACATAAAACAAGGAAAAGGAATATGAAGTTATATAAAGAAAATAATAGATTTAAATAGAAAAATTAAGATAATAAAAAATTTAAAAAAATGAAAATAAGATGCAATGAGTTAATGTATCAATATACTCAAAATAGAGATTGAGATATGGAAAAGAAAGTAACGGGAAAAGCAAAGATTTATTCTTTAATTTTTTGGGAGGGGGGGGAGAACCTTACTTTACGATCCGGGAGCTGCTCGGAGGGGGGGGGGGGTGATTGATGATTCGCAACTAAGTAGGCGCTAATTTTGAGCTCAATTCATCAGCTTAATTTAAAAAGTATAATTGTTTATTGTCCAATTTATGAAAAGGGTAAATTTAATTTTGAGTTATTAATATAAAAACAAAGGCTAATCAATGAAAACCAGAGAAAGAAGAATTATATATATTCGACACACTGAACTGTAAAACCTGCACAAAAAATGATGTATTTTTAAAAGGAGATTTATTAAATTAAAAGATCCCAAGCCTAGTGGCCTGTATTTAACGTTTCTAGGTGGCCTATAAACGCCACACATGCTACATTTATTTGTGAACATTCAACTTCTCTAGAATACACACTTAACGAAATTTTGGTTAATAATTTAACCTTTTTATGCTCTCTACCATTAAAGTAGCCATAGTTGACAATAGCGCTAAGTTATTGGGTGTCGGAACTACTTTTGGTTTTAGGGAAATTTAATAGTAAATCCTCAGCATATTTATAAAGAATACTCTAAAAGTGTGCATTTAAAGATAACTCTAAGCAAAGAATTTGTAAGGAATCTTTCATAGAAGAAACGTTCCATAAGAATGCTGATCCTGAGTCAACCAAATAAGCCAATGTTTTGAGTTCTATCAATAACAAGGTTATATTTTTAATCAACAATTAAATGATATCATGAAATGATAAGTTATTTACTTCTATTTAGGAGATTAACACTTGTTTTAAATATGTGAGTTGATATTATATACATAACATATATATATATATATTGTTTACCTGAGCCTGGCCTCCCTGGCAGCGAGGGCCTGCCGCTGGACCGCCATTTCTTCGGTCTGCCGGACGGCCATCGCCTCTAATTCGGCAAGGGTTAACTCCACCGAAGCCGTCCGAACCTGAAACAACATACAAATACATATTAATAACGCTATTCCACGGGCGGATCTACGGGGGAGGGGCTTTCGGGCTGAAGCCCCCCCCAAAATCGAAAAATATAACCATGTTTTATGGGAAAAAAATTTAAAAAATACCTCTTAAAGTATTATTGTTCATGTAATTACAATTAAAAGTACTTAAGGAATAACTTAAACATTATTTCATATAGGTAGTTAGTTTCTTTCTTTTTTTCCAAAGTAATTATCGTTATTTTTATGAAAAAAAAAGGTTTCGGGCTGAAGCCCCCCCCAAAATTAAATCCTGGATCCGCTAGTGCGCTGTTCAAATACATATTAATAATACCATACAAATATATATTAATAAGACTATACCATCAAATAAAATCATTATACATAGATACACATTAACTTAAGATGCTGTGGTGAAAATGGAAACAAAAAGAAATAATAAAAAAATAGTAAAGCGCTGAACATCCTGAATATACATCCTTCATTCAAAACACAGCAAAAGTGCTGCTATCTGTGGAGTGAAGGTAGAACTCCTTGCACCTCATAACCATTTTTTTTTTCTCTTTATTTTTTAATTCACAACTCTCAATGTCCACTGACAACCAGTGCATGAGATTACTATATACAAATAAACTAGGAGAAAGGGCATGGCAGCCAGATTTAGCAGAAATATTCCTCAATGTTAATAGAAATTCAACTGAATTAGATTCAAGTATTATTATCCTAACTAAATTACCTTCACTAGCCTATGAGAAAAAAAAAAAAAAAAAAAAAAAAACAACACAACTTTCACTTATCAACCTTAGAGTAGATAGGTAATCAAACAATAATTAGGAATGTGGGGAAAACTAAATCTTTTGTAAAAATTATGAGTTTTTTCGGAATCATTTATCATGAAACTCATGGAAAAAATAATTTGATGATAGTAAATATCTTATATTATTAGGTTTATATTAGTGGATTCTCAACACTGCAGGTGAAAATATTTTTAAAAATTAATATATATAAAATAAGGAATATATAAAAGCTAAACTAACAATATGAAAGCCCTGTACAGAGTGGTATCGGCTATCTGTAAAGTGAAAGCCTGTGTAGCTCCCAAACCTTATCAATAGATTTTCTTCATTCATCGTATTTAACCATTTTTTAAATCAATTTCCAATGTGAAATGGTTAATTATTTCGTTTAAAAAAATTAAAGGTACTTAATAAATTTTGAAAATAGGCATTTTTGTACCTTGTTAGAGAACAATGAGAATAAAACCTACATTATATTTATAAACACATCTCCACCTCATAACAAAAGATCTTATCCCCAGATGTCAAAAGTGTAACCAATCACTAACTATAAAACATATTTTGGAAGAGTGCCCTTTTTACACCGCAAGATTAAAAGATCTCGGAATATATGAGCATCCCTGGGAAATCAAGAAGAAATCGTTACCAAAGTCATCAAGTTCCTGGATAGTGAAAGACTTAGAAAACACATACGACAAGCTTATAATTAATGATCCTTTGCAGATTTATTTTTTTTTTATTCTATTTTATATATATATATATATATATATATATACTTTTTTTTTCATTTGTTCATTTAATTTCATTTCAGGTTCATTTGTTTATTAATCTCAATTCATTTATTGATTTTACTGCTATTTTTTTTAAGTTTATTTATTTATCTATTCTATCTTATTATCTATAAATGTCTATTATTGTCCTTATTTATTTATCTTATTCTATCAATCCATTTCTTTATTTTTTGTACCAGCCATCCAAATAGTATCGGGCGCTTAGTTGATCGGGCGCTTATGACCTGGATGTTTTGCGCCTTGACATCGAAACAAACAAACAAACCTACATTATATTTAAAACAGCTATTTCTTACATTAATACAATGAATTTGAACAAAATCGTTGGAGTCGTTTTTGAGGAAATTGTAAAAATTTGTACAATCGATGATTTAAAGTGGCACTTCCTGTAAGCCAATTTTGACGGAAAAGTTGCTGTAACACCTCAGGCACGTTCAAACGATAGGTAATTTCAGTTTTTCCTTTTTGAGTTGAGCAGTTCGCATATACATACAGACATAGACCATTTTGCGGGACTTGTGTTTTGGACTCAGGGAGTCTCAAAACATGTATTTCCGTTGAAAACTTGATTCGAAAATTTTCACGATCGCTATACATTCCTCTACTATACATTACATACATAGGAAAGAGAAAGTAAAAAAGTAGTATGGAGGTGAAGTGGATAATCAAAAGCCACTTACATCAATAGAACTAGCCTAGAACAAATCAACAGTTCAGCAGGTACCCTATACTTCATTTGGCCCCCTCCGCCCACTAAATTGTTCCCCTTCAACTATATACGATAAATATATACGATAATATGAACACAGCCAAAATAAAATAACTAATAATATTGTAACCCAAATTTTTGGCTTAATCCGCCTACTCTAGTAATACTCAAGTTATAAAATACACGATTTTTCTTATAATATCACCTATACTCTACTTCTTCATTACAATACCCATTTGCCCTGTGTACTTTGTCAATAAGAAAGCCGCAGGTATAAAACAAAAACAATCAAAGAAAGTTTATATTTCATTTGGGATAGAACCGTATACTACCGAGTGGAATGAGAGAGGGAAATATTTTCCCCTCTCAAACTAGAGCATGCGCATTAAAAGTTAGTTCGTAACTTGGAATAGTTTATCCACACCGATTCTGCCTTTTTTACATTTCTAATCATAAATATATGTTGCAATGTGCCCAAAAATGTCGAATGAACAAACCAAAATTCAAAGCAAGGATGGTTTTTTTTTAAACTCATGGAATCGTCCAGGTTCACTGTGCCCCTGAAGGTCAAGCTATCCATCAACATTACTACATTCATGTCCTTGCTGAAAGAGAAAGCACCATGTCTCCAGGATAAGACTTCCAGCACTATTCCAGACAATGGAAGATTCGCATGGAGCGATGTAGAGATAGAGGAGGGGTTGGTTCATGTAGCAGGTTATAATAAGTAAATATTTATTAAATCAAAATAAAATGTAAAGCACCAGTCTTGTTATTATTCACACCTCGCATTGTTAGTTAGATCATTATTATTATATAATACGTATATATTGTTAGTAGGATCATTATTATTATTATACAATACGGATATAACTTAAAAAATGGTTATTATTAATAATGATATGGAGATGTTTGACCGTGGATTCAATTTCACAAGAAAGTAGTCGAGGGTGCGGCAAAAAAATACTATATTCTATATATATATATAGATATAGTATATATTGTTTATATTGTCCAGCGTTTCGACCTACAACGTTGGACAATATAATAAAATAAACTTTTATAAAATATAGTATTTTTCTTTTTTACCGCACCCCCGACTGATTTCTTATGAGGTTATTATTAATCATAACAGGCGACGGAATGATGGACGTACAGTAGCCCATTTTGTAGAAAACAAAGAAGATAATCTCGACTTATTACGTCATACTGTACTAGCCATTTCTAAGTTTTATTTCGCTTAACAATTCTATCCATGTATGTCGTTTCGGCCTTGACTGTTGCCTTTCGCCAGGGTTAGAACAATACAGATCCGAGAATAGCAGAGAACTCTCGACTCGACGCATTGAAACCTGCCCCAAGATATGACTTCGCCATTCCTCCCCGATCCTCCCCCTTCCTCCCGATATCTCCCCGCCGCAGCAACCTCTTCCTACAGGAGCAGCGACTCCAGCAGCCTAATCCCAGGCCCGGCGCTATACAAATCTTGATTGCCTCGTCCCAACAGCTCCTTGGCAACAATCGAGTTAATTAACCCAGATCTTCCGAGCGGCTGAGCCAGGCCATTGTGCCTTCGAGGGGGGCTCTCCAGGAACAGGGAGTTGATGGATACGGCAGCTGTAGGCTGGTCTGCTCGTCTTCTATCCTCCGTGTCTACCTCTTTCGCGATCCAACAGCCAATCAGGAGGTCAATACCTAATATGTAGACTAAAAAGCTGAATGACCTAGGATAACACAGAGGCATTATTGAATTATTGAAACAAGGTTTCCGATCTACATTTCATGGGCGATAGACAGTCAAGAAGTTGTCACTTTTTTTCCAACTTCTCCGCAGAAGCTTGTGGGTTATCGGGGCATGTTTTCAGCTACGAATATGTTCAAGTAGTGGACTGTTAAAGTGAGTACTTGCAAGCATGGCCTGAAATGTATAAAATAAAAAACTGTTACCTAAGCTAACATTGATAATACAAAGACCTATAATACGGAAAGGGAATTTATATTTTATCTTGTATTTAAACTAAAAAGACAAATTTCCTACTCGCCTTAAAAAACAATCAACTATTTTGCTGAGATCCTTCACGCCATATTAGTTTTTGTTCGGTATTCCTGGAGATGGGAGATGTAGAAAGGTCCTTCTATTCTCTCTATGAATATATATTGAGTGACTATAGATTCATTTTCACAGAAAGATATTTTTAAATCCAAATGTTTTTCTATTATAAATAAACCAGTGTCGAATATGCATATTTTATTTCCTTATTGGAAGTTAAATAACTTTAATTTATTTATAATGATGTAGAGATGGTTTACCGTGATATAATATGAGGAGTTGGTCGGGGGGTGCGGTCAAATAAACTACGCAAAACCTTCAAAAATCTTAAGACGTTCCTCATCCCTTGATGTAAGCGGCCACGTTTCGCAACCATAAAGAACTGTAGGTAAGATAGTGGTTTTATAGATTCTAATTTTTAAGTTCCGTAGGGGAGCGAGCTAAGTAGTTTTGTCACAGAAAAATAACAAGCATTTCCAACCTTCAGCCTAATCTTAATATCCTCTCCAATTTCGTTTTTTTCTAGTTATCGTAGACCCTAGGTACCTAAACTTCTCTAGATATTCAAATATAATACCTTCTATATCGATACCACCGGAATTAACCCCATTTTTGCAGCTGACCATATATTTTGTATTATCCGT